TATATATATATATATATATATATGCGATAAAACTGTAGCCTGTCTCTTTATCAAGATTGCATTCTCTCAATACATCAATATGACGAGACAAAATGAATAATTTCATTATATCTTGAAAATGTTACTGAATGATTTCTCGGAAATTTCCGAAACTAGTAGCTTCAATCAAGTAACATACCTGTAAAATTTCATCGGAGAATTAGGCCGACCTACTTTGAGAATTGGGATAAAAACGAAAGACCCCTTTGTTGTTTCTATGGATGCAACTTAAAAACAAAAAAAGTAGGTCGGCCTAATTCTCCGATGAAATTTTTTGTTACTTGATTGAAGCTACTAGTTGCAGAAATTTCCGAGAAATTATTCAGTAATATTTTCAAGATATGATGAAATTATTATTTATTTTGTCTCATCATATTGAGAGACTGTAATCTTGATGAAGAGAGAATTTTATCGCAAGTATAAATAATTGTTCTTCTCTCCTGTTTATATTGCAATCGATTTGTGCAAAATAATTACTTACAATGCATGCTAAAACGCTTTCATCTTGTTGAAATTATTCTTCTATTGTATTTTATGCCACATCAACTCGCAATCATTCGATAACATCGTGTTTACATCTAATGCAGATAGTGAAAAATACGTGGGTTAAAGATCATAGATTATATTTTAAAAAAACACACACAAAGCATACCTCGTAGATACGTACAGCTATTGCACAATACGATAAGTTGGTGCTGAAAAAGTGGCGTGAAGCAGAACTTCTACGTTCACCAGGCTTGTTTATTTAAAAATACGCTGAACCCTTTCAAAAATTACACCATGTTGATTAACATACAAGTATAATGAGATATATAATAGTAAAGTACATCTAATATTTCGATCAGTGGATTATCCATAGACAGTAGCTGGTTGTTCCTTTTTCTCTGCAAATGTTTAGAACGACGAGATCTTTGATTGGAAAAAATAATAATAAAATATGAAGAAAATAAACAACTCTTGTACAGCTATACGGAATGATTTCTTTTTATGTCTGCGTACGATACAAACGTCTCGTCAAACGCTGTTAATGACAAAATGTGTTAAACTTTACATACGTTTATTTAATAGCGTTCATATTTCGAGAATTTGTTACATTATATAAACATAGACATTTTGCTTTTATGCTAATTATCTAATTTGATATACCTACAGTATAGAGCTAGAGTATTTCTAGACATGCAGTATTCCATTGTTATTTGGTAAAACGTGCTTGCGCGTTAAACACATTCATTGCCTTGCGCTCTCCTCAATATCTTGGCATTCAGTTTTCACACACACACACACGCACACACACGTACGTACATATCGCACTCTCGTACATAACATAATTCGTTTATTCTCAGTCGGTGTCTTCGGGCATACTATCCGAGAAATTATTTCAGCTGCGTCATTACATCGCATTGCACGCCGTGATCTCAAAAATGAATAGCATGATTGAAAGTCACTTCTAGCCAGCAATATCGCTAATGACTTTCCATGATGTTTTGATTGACATGCGCGGCAATATAATAAAAAAAAAAGTACTTTTTACATAAACATGTTTAATATTCGTGCAATTACAATATTGTAGCGTATCTGCGTTTTTATATATAATTAATATATAAAATTCTCTCTCTGTCTCTCTCTCACTTTCGGGGACTTATTATATTCTTCTTTAGCCCAAAATCTTTTCATTCTGCAATTTCCTTCGAAGAGACTTTGTAGAAAATTCACATCAATTTGTGACAAAAGAGGCTACATCAACTAAATTTTTTCGTTGTTCATATGAAACATATATTTCCTTTAATTAACTAGTGCCAGCATCATTCTGATGAAATGTTTTGCCACTTTTAGTTTACACACACACACACGCGCGCGCGCGCGCGCACGCACACACGAGTCTTCCGAATAATTGAGACGTTTAGATGGGTGGTTTTATACAGATGATGAATTTTCTCAAATAATCTTTGTATTTTATTTCCTTCCCTATAAACAAGCAACATATAGAATTATACAGATAATAATAGAGAATCGGGTTATCACTAAATATTAAGGCTGTCATTGTATATGTCGTGTATTGTATCGTCGCGCGGATTCAACGTATATAAAATCAATCTTTGTACGAAACGTTCAACGTTATACTGAAAACGCCGGTATTCGCTGACCGATTTAATGTAATTTTAAGAATGAAAGGAATATTCGCGAAACACAGAGAGTGAAATGAGAGTGAGATTTTATATGAGAATGAGTATTTTTTTTTACTCACTATATAATATATGCGGATAGTTTCTCAGAAACTTGGCGACACTTTTCTTCTTTCTGTCTAACGAAGGAGATTTCTTCCCTCGATTGTTCGTACGTACGAATTACCCGTGGCAATCTGCGGTGAGACAAAACGAAGGTTTGATTGGTGCGATCTATCACAATTTTGCGATGCGAATGACACGCGCGATAAAAAGTGTAAAATTAAGGAAGCAAACAATCGCAAAGAGGTGCTTCCCACGCGAATGATGTTTTTTTTTCGTAAAATCAAGCGAAAGATTTCACGGCTAATGTAGAGCAAAGCCGAGGCATGTATATTCTGCGAAGCGTATGAATCGATAACTTGAGATATATTCGCGCCACATCTTACGAATAAAAGAAATATGCCGCCGAAATATGTTTGACACATTTTCGTTAAATTGGTATACAAATGGCACGAAAATATATTACGCGACATTCCGTCTTATTATTGTTCAATATAGACGTATAGTTTGTGTGATAAACATATTTCTTCGTGTTACAAAATTTAATGTGACGTGTAATATGTGACACGACGTGGATGTTGTCATACGTAACGTTGAATCATAACAACAATCTTTCCAACTGATAGTGCGTTTGTATTAAAAAAAGAAAAGAAAGAAAGAAATATTGGTGTGATTCATCCGTGCGTCCGCTTATATCCATTGAAACCATATTTAGATGACGTAGCGATGCGATGGATCGTCGATTATTACAGTTAACGTATGCTGACTTGTTTATTTCGTTGGATCAGGTGTACAGAATCGTTTTACAAAATCGATAGGCGCTAATAACGTCTGTGAAGCTTGTTCGTCGCGGAAATTCATTCGGATGTCAATTGAGATTCGTTGACTCTGTAACGGTTGACTTATACGACTATTAATACTATCAAATCGTATCATATTTACACGCTTTACGATACGCTCGCTTGTTCTTCTGTTACGGCACATGTAGAGAAGAAATCGTGATAAAAATGCTATTTTGCAAGTGGCGTCTATTATAGAGGTCACTGAGTAATAAACAAAAGATTTGTTGTCAGTTATATGATTCTAAGGAAAAGAATTTTCCTAAATAGAACATAATTTCCCGCGTGTTCGTTCAATAATATGTAATGCGTGCTATGTACAAATATGCCGAGTTTTGATTTTTCTTCGATAAAATGTCGTGTTACTTGGTATGTATTAATAGTTTCCGTTAGTGTGCCAATCATTTGGATAATTTCAAGACAATTTTCCCAACATACATCGGCACGAATTTACAGCGATACAATTTTGTCTGTTTGTGGAATTTCAAAGAGCAAGTCGTTCAAATAACCAATTCACTCATTTGTGGATTATCTGCCGTGATAATGAAACGACAAACGCAAGTTACGCAGAGAAATAACAATTTTTTATCCGACGAGAAGAAATGCTTCAATTCACGAGAAGAGGGTGGTGGATTGGATTAACAACCAGCGGGAGAGCCCCATCGTATATTATAGTTTTTCCCGAGTATGCTTCACTCGACGTTGGGTGAAAGAAATAGTTGATGCCAGAGTTTTAATTAATATTTTAACGGTCTAACATTAAAAAATCCCCGATAACACGTGTATCGTAGAGAATTACATCCTTCGGTCGGTAACTTGACAACGAGCGAAACTTCTTGTTTATTACTCAGGAGGATGATATGCCTTCCCTAAACAGCATCTTTACCGAAATTATAGGTCGGTCCTGTCTATTGTATCGTGTATAAGCGTGCACGAGCGATTATAAATTTTTCATTTTCGTTTGATTCGCTTTGCTTTGAAAAATTAAGCTTAAGCTTTCTCTCATGTGGAACCAAGTGGATATAATAAATGTAAAAAAATACTTTCAACGTTTGGAGTCGATAGATATCCTTTCCGTCTGTTGCGGTCAGTCAGAAAAATACGAACGGTATGTTCCACGTGGCAATTGTTCCACGTGGCAATCGTTCCACGTTGGCAGTGAAGTTGGAAATAACACTAGAGAATATGGTATAACAATCGTGCGATTTATGTTTCACGGCCGATGAACGGCCAGAAGCTACGTAGATTCTAAGATTGGTACTTTCTCCCGCACGTTAGAGTGCGGATGAGATCGCGTCGTGAAATCGTGGAGGCGTGGTAGCGCGTCAAGAGATGTAAGTTTGTTCGTTTCAAGCATAGATAGGTTACATTAACAGAGAGACGTTATGTCGAGTAAAATAAAGAGAAAACGGAATAAATACGTATAAATACTGGCAGTGGAAGATGCGATGCAGTTCTCCGGGATAAGATAGTGGTACGTATAAATACAGGTATAGCATATATAGGTACATGATATGCCATACGTTAATAGAGACTTAAGTAATAGTACGAACGAATTACGCTCCTTGATTAAACTAACAGCAAATTAGCTTAGATATAAATAATACGCTTATACAAAAATAATTACGCGGCTTTATATCGGCAAACTCTCTCTCTCTCTCTCTCTCTCTCTCTTTCTCTCTCTCTCTTCCCCCTCTTTCTCTCCATTCCGGAGTTTTTGGTTTACCGATGATCCCGAAATGATGTGTATATATATATATATATATATATATAATCGGCTGACCAAATGTTACACGCACACATTTTCATAATTCGTATTTTCCTATCATCGTTTGCGGTATCGTTCGAAATCATCGAATCCTCCGCCGCGTTGCATTATTCCGTGCAGCTGGCTGCATCTCGCATCTCGAAGCGGAATATTAGGCCGTAAAGTGCAAAAATTCGAAGCGCGCCCTTCGAAATTCGCGATGCAGTCCGTCTCGGGCGATTTCGTCGTTCCGGCGTGATTTCTTGGCTTTTACAAAAATTGTGCTACATTCCCACTGCTGCTACCGGTGAGGTACGGAGGAAACGTTGTACTTTGTGAATTGAGTTTCTCTTCGCGATACTTGAAATATATTTCTATTTTACATTTAGTTTAGACATTTATATTTCTCTGTGTGATCTCTATTCGCGTGACTCTACACTACACGTGTCCCTAACGGCATATTCGACGTTCCGATGTCTATGTCGTGTGTTCAACGATTCTGAAGCGGCTCAATAATATTCATACTAACATGGTGCGGTCAGAGTGATAATTGAAATACATGATTAGCAGCACTGTAACTAAATTGATGGAAAAGGCAAGAAACACGCCGCTATCCTATGTTTTCCGCAGTCCCTTCAGGTCAATTGGCTATACGATCGATTGTTCGCATTGTGTACAAGCGAAATAAACAATTTGCAACGATGACAACCACTCGCGTCACTCGAAATATAATTATCTCTTTATTTTTCTCCCGTATACACATCTTGCGTTGCAAAGATTTGAATGGGTGGAAATAGTTACGCCATCATTCGCATTTAGTGTAAAAGTTCGCTGAGAAGGAGATAGATCTAACTATATACGTGAGGCTAAGCTTCGCGATCCATCGATACTCCAGGGAATCTCCAATTCCTCCCAAAAAAGATTACACGATCCAATCGACGTAGTTATTTTGCATAAAAAGAATAANGGGGGGGGGGGGGGGGGGGAGGAGATGTACATCTCCCAAGGTATCTCTTTGTTATGACAATTCCAAATGACTTTTAAATAAAGGGCTATCATGTTGCGTCAAAAATTTGAAAGAAAATTTATGATCGCCATTACGTATTGAACAAAAAGCGTATATATTTTGAGACAAAATTCTTAAAGCGGGCCACCTAAAAATGGATGATTGAAATATTAAAAAATAATGTACATACCTCGATAGTACTTTTAAAAATAAAAGACAAGGATGATATGCCTTCCCTAAACAGCATCTTTACCGAAATTATAGGTCGGTCCTGTCTATTGTATCGTGTATAAGCGTGCACGAGCGATTATAAATTTTTCATTTTCGTTTGATTCGCTTTGTTTTGAAAAATTAAGCTTAAACTTTCTCTCATGTGTTTTTTCTTTTTTTAAAAATTCGATTTTTTAAAAAGTTATTAACAATATCATTTTCCCCCATATTTTATAAAAAAATTATTTTCTCCTGATTGGCTCAACGAATCGTTATGAAATTTTATGAGCAAGTCGGAAAGAATAGCCCTTTAAGAACATATTTTTAGAATTCACGCAGCATGTAATTTGTTTAAACAAATTCATAAAAGTTATAAACAATTAGAAATTACATGTACTTCTCAATCAGTTACGACAATAATTTTTACATATTTCGATTCCTTATTCAATTTCGAATAAATGAGTGAAAAAAAAGTTGGTAACTCGCAATAGGTAAATAACAACGTTCATTTGTTTACATCGCTCTTCGACGCGCAGCGGCGCGAACTGGACGGTCTGAACTTGCACGGAATCAGCATCTTAGTGGTTTATCAGTAGTGGTTTAGACGAACGTGGTTTAGAAGTGGCTTAGTGGTTTAGACGATATTATTAGTAGAAAATGCCAAGAGCAAACAATTGTTGCAATCCATTGAAAAAAGAAAATCATAAATGTGTGTATAATAATGTTGTTCTTATTACAGAAAAGTGGAACGAAAAATTTAAAAACTTTCTTGGATTATATATTTGTAAGTCTTGCAAAAGTCAAATATACAGGCAACCCGATATCATAAATTTACAACTAGTCTCGGGCAATAGTACATTTGAAAAAAAACTCCGATTCTTGATAGTGACGAACAAGATGACGAAGATGAAGATCCTAATATCAATAATAAGGTAATTATAGTTACCAACTTTTTTTTCCACTCATTTATTCGAAATTGAATAAGGAATCGAAATATGTAAAAATTATTGTCGTAACTGATTGAGAAGTACATGTAATTTCTAATTGTTTATAACTTTTATGAATTTGTTTAACCGTTTGAGTGCCAAGCGGCGCGATCGCGCTTCTTCTGTTCTCTTCTGAAAACTGCAACGCTCTGGGCTGCGAAGCCCATAATCACAGCAGGCTCGGTTTTTCTCGATGCACAACTTTACGGTGACCTTTCAATCTTCGGTAAAAAGAGATATGAAATGATTATTGCATGTAAGCTGAAAACAGCGCAATCGCGTCGCTTGGCAATTTTCGACACGGAATATAACAAGCGCTATCGCGCCGCTTGGCAAGTTTCGACACGGAATATAACAAGCGCTATCGCGCCGCTTGGCAAGTTTCGATCGGGAAATGAGAAAGGCCCGTGGCACTCAAACGGTTAAACAAATTACATGCTGCGTGAATTCTAAAAATATGTTCTTAAAGGGCTATTCTTTCCGACTTGCCCATAAAATTTCACAAAGATTCGTTGAGCCAATTAGGAGAAAATAATTTTTTTTTTAAATATCGGGAAAAATGATATTGTTAATAACTTTAAAAAAAATCGAATTTTTAAAAAAAGAAAAAATACGTGTCTTTTATTTTTAAAAGTACTATCGAGGTACGTACATTATTTTTTAATATTTCAATCATCGATTTTTAGGTGGCCCGCTTTAAGAATTTTGTCTCTCTATAAGAAGATTTACGGAAGCCTATTTGCACGCAGCCGCGATTAGGACCAGTTAGGTCCGCACTAAATCAACAGCGTAATCGTACGCATTCGTGCGTAACCGTTACGAAGGCGCGAGCGCTCGCGGTCTGCGATCGCAAACGTCCGCGCGCGCTACCCTTCTTTTTTTTACCCCTCCCCCCCCTCTCTCTCTCTCTCTCGTTTCCACGTCACTATATATCCTATATCGGTCATTATATACGAATAATACTTAGTATACGTTTAACTGCTTCGAATATCGATAGTCCGTAGAGCTATAAGATGTACTCTTAAATTCTCTCTCTCTCGCTCTATCATTCTCGCGTTCTCTCTTTCTCTCCCTTTCTCTCATTAATAATACATATCACACTGAGCCGGCTATGTGTGTGTCCATCTAGTTTTGGCCTGCACCACGCACTTTCTTGACGTGTCCACGTGTCTTGCGAATATTACCACAGGAATGCCGCATCTACCAGCAGCTTCTCTCCTCCATCCGATTGGCGTTCCCATTCGTCATCTTCGAGGACACGTGGATGCACGTGGAGCGAGGGTGCGGGGGTTTCTTCTCGTTTTCGACGCGTGTCGACGGGGCCGCAATGCGTCGACTGGCTAGTAACACTTGCGAGTGCACGCGCACTTACGCACCAGGTCAACGTCCTTGGTGTACCGCATGCCGTCCGTGCAAATTAATCGGACCTGAAATTAATACGTGAATTGTTTGTAATGATCAGCTGGGGGCTAATCATGGCTCGATGAATATAATTGCGGTAGTTGGCGCGCGCTAAGATGGAATGACCTACATCGTCCGATGCCAATTAACGATGAGAGTATGTTGAGAGCAACTCGGTACAACAACAGTAGCCAATCGCAATGCAAATGTCGACGAGATATTAATTTACTCGCGGAAATCTGAGAGGCATTATCTCGGGAGAATATTTTGGACAATTGAAAATTATACCGGATCAACGAATCGATCATCAATATATATCCGGCGCGTGTACCTTGCGCCGCTTAGTCTTTCGCGGTAAACAGCAGGAACTGCCGCAACTTCCCCAACATTTAGCGAGCTTTACGGGTCGTCTACTTCGGCATCCATTCTCGCTGTAGTACTCCCTAATGTGCTCCTTGCGACAGGTTGCTGCTGCGACATTAATATCAACGCACGTTACGATCCTTTTGTGTGATTAGAAAAACAAGGATAACAACAGGTGATTTGATTTACAAAATAAGATTCGACAAATAGAATCGATACGAAGCGCGTAATGATGAATTACGTTTCTCGCAGTATCGTCCCTGCCAACCAGTTTGACACCGGCAAGAATAGCTGTTACCAAACGATGATGGTACACATTGGGAACCTTTTCTGCATTCATGACCGATACAGGCGTGTGAAGACACCAGTCCAGTCACCGATGCGATGACATCTGCAATCACGGATTGTTTTCCTCCCTGATTAAAAATATCATATAACGAGTAAGAGGAAGGGGGGGGGGGGAAGAGTACGCTCTGTAGAATATATAACAATCGCCTCTTTGTAAGCGATCGCGATGTGTGTTTACGCGATCTTTCGTTATCGCCAGGCTGGAGAAAAGCGATTTTGTTCAGTCGAGTCGCGTAAAATCGCGGCGGATAAATCGGCAGCCTTTCTCTCGACGGCATACAATTGGCACAACATACCGGAATGTTCGCGAGGTACGTGCTCTTGCTGCGGCATGGTCTCCTCGTTGCTGCCACTGTTGTTAATTCCCTCGGCTTCAACAATATCTCTCGCCTCGTCGGCCTCCTCCTCCTCGCTGGAAGTACATCCGGGAGTAACGCGATGCATCTTTGCGGCGTTACTGAAGTCTACCAACTTATGATTGATCCACATCTCGGAGATGCAGCCTGAGAGATAAAGCAAGGAAACTTTTAATGGATCTGGCGAAAGTTTCGCTCTATCCTATATAAAGAGTGGCGGCACGTAATGTCGAACGCCGTGCAGCAATTGAGCAAGTGACCCCGCGTAAAGTCACGTTGATTGTAAAATACCAGGGACCTTGAAAAATTTCACCGAATATTGTCCCCTTTTTATCGGTGTTGGTAGAGAATCAAGTGTGAAATCTTCGCTTTTTACAACCGCTTTTATTACCGCTCCACCCTTCGCGGAAAGACAAAATTTCTTCGTCAATCTCTGACGTCAATCACTCGGTCTTACCTTGGAAGCTCGTAATGTTCCTCAGGTGAAACTCGGTGAATGCGACTTTCGCGACTTCTGGCGTTACGCCACCGACAAACATCGGCGTGACAAGCTTGAGGTACTCCTTCGGACCATCGTTGATGATGCTCCTGGCGAGGCCCCGGTCGACCCTCATTGTAAAATTTTTCTTGATGGCCAGCAGCTCCGCCATGTGAGGCTTGCCATCGGCCACCATCTCGTAGCTATACATCGTCGAGGTAGGATAATTGCCTACGTCGTACGAAACCCTGATCCGCCCATTAAAGAGCTCAACGGCGATGTGCCCGTCGGTTTGCCCGTCGTAGAGAAGAACCCCGTTTTCCTGCGTGGTCGTGAATACGATGGTCACGTTCGCCTCGGGCCTCGTGCGTAGCGGTTCCAGCTCGACCAGCGAGCTGTTGTCCACGAAGCTCAGACTCGTCAGGTACTCGCATCGTTTTCCTGATACGAACGAAGCGAGCGTGTAGTACCGGCCATATTCTCTCGAGGTTGTTCATAGACTTACCGGTATAGCCGGGATGGCACTGGCAAAGATAGTCCGCGGCGGAGGCGGGAGCGGGCTGGAAGCAAGCACCGTGCTGACAGTCGTGGTGGGCACACGGACTGGTCTGCGGATACAACATAGCTGTCGAGGGCGCAGCCTCACAGTACCTTCCCGTAAATTCCGCCGCGCACTTACACTCGTAATTGTTTATGCCGTCGATGCAAGTAGCACCGTTCTGCAAAAGGAGAAAGGTCAGAAGGGATCTTTTCGCGACGCACACTCTCTCGTTCGAAAAAGAAGAAGGTTTCTCATACTGCCGTTTATTAATGTCAGCTAGTAAACTTTACGGATAAGATAGGAACGCAAACTGCGGATGCAACTAACTAGTAGCGGAGGGTTACAAATCATCGGGCGAACCGCCAGTTTCACATGCCTGGTCTCAAACTAAGGGCCATGTATCCCTATGTATTAAGTCACATATATGCAATAATATATCCCCCCGCTGCGAGTTACACGTACTAATCTTATCAATAGTTGGAAGCAACGAATGTTGCTCCATGCGGCGCGTAAGGAAGTCGGTCGGACTTTATCGATTTTAATATGAGTATGCGTTTTCAAAGAGAGATAATATTCTCATTGAGATGCGTGAAGAAAAATTTCATGTGTACAGAGTGTAAACGATATGCATGAGCCTCTCCCTCTTCTGTAGGTCAATTCGTTTAGAAAGAGCTCGTGATATGCTATATATAAATTTAGAGTCAACACCAAGAAAAGAAAGCGCAAAAGGGTGGCGTTATAACGCGACCACGCGAAGAAACTTGCGAAGTAAAATTTCACATGTCGATTTTTTTGCAACGATTTCTTTCTGCCGGAAGACCGTTGAAGGGAGCCAATCGATAGTCAGATAAGAATCTCATCGTCGTTAGTTCGCTTGATATTCTATTAAAAATATTATACCGCGAGGAGAATACTTTTGTGCGCGGACAGTATTTAAAAGTGCGATATATACTAGAGAGATACATCATGTTGAGAGAATATCACACGATAGTGCGCAGTAGTAGTGGCTCGAAATTAATTGTCGTTACCACTAGAGACCACCACGGGAAAATAAATGATAGGTGCGACTCTCACAGCAGCGTAGTAATTATTTTATACTCAACGATACAATCTATCGCGAGAAAGTAATTTCGCGTGTTGTTAACAGAATAAGCAAGAGAAATTCATCGAAAGATACCGACCTGGCACATATGATCGACGCAATCATCCAAGTTTGTGGAACAATTGAGACCGGTGAAGCCGATCGGGCATTCGCAGCTGTAGTGGGTCTTGTGGTCGACGCATCGACCCCCGTTCTCGCAGGGGTCGTGCCCCTTTGTACAAAAGGGTATCTTTTCCTCGCAGTATTCTCCCATGAATCCTGGGGCGCAGTCGCATCGATAGGCCTGGACGAGGTCGACGCAGGTTGCGTTGTTGGCGCACCTGTTGTTGGCACAATCGTCGACGTTGCTCTCGCATCGAAGTCCCTTGTAGCCGGGGGCGCAGTCGCAACTGTCACACACCGACTGAACGTCAATCGAGACATTGAGCCCGACATGCGATCGCGGTGGATCCGCCAAATGTATTTCACCGCGGGCGATGAACTTCCCCGACTTATACAAACTCGAGACGAAAATAGAAATAGGCGTTTACTTTTGATCGGTAAGAATGCGAAAAAAATCTCGATATTGCGATGAGAAATTGTTTACATCGAAATAGTCCTTTGATAATCGGTTCTGTTACGAGCGCGGGTTATTGACAGCGCGCAGTTTGCAGTCGTCGCAGAGAGGGTCCCGTTTATTACGCGTGCTGGAATTTGATCGCCACTTTGAGCGGCGCGCGCGCGTCGAAAGTCGTCGAAACAGCAATAAGCGAGCCGCGTCAAATTTAAGCTTCGAGGTTTCGTCCTCCCTCCATCTACTCGAACCTCCAGAGAAAACTGTATTCTTTGACGATCAAACGACCGACTACTACCAGCCTCTCTCTACCGACGATTGTTGTACTTTCGCGATCCGACAATCTGCCGACAGTTTCTCAACGGGCAATTTACGTTCGTAAGTAATTGCGACGAGAACAAGGAGACGTCCAGTTCGTTCCGAACAATCCGCGAGAGAGATCGGTCGGTAGGTAGGTACCTGAATCTCCCTTCTTCCAGTACTTTACAAGTTCCGGAGTTCCTGCAAGGATTTCCATAGCACGCGTCAATTTTATGCTGACACCGGTCCCCATGATATCCTGGCGCGCACTTGCAACGGAATTGCCGTTCCGGAAGCGCCTCGCAAAATCCTCCGTTTTGGCATGGCGAGGTGTAACACAGGTCGCACTTGGCCAAGACTTCGGCTGGCTGTTGCTTGGCTGCGCGGAAGAAAGGTCTACGATTAATGAGCAATTTTAGTACCCTACCGTGATGCTGAGCCAAAAAACCACGAACTAAACAGACTGCGTCGCGCTGTACTACGAAATCAAAAACACCGTCACGTGCAACAATCATAGTGTGGATTGCGGATCAGTAATGGCCAAGCGTCGTGTTTTTTTTTTTTTTTACGAAATACATCGATAGCAAGTCGTATGATGGAGTCTTTTCACGAGTCTACTAATGGAAAATCGTTCTCGTTTTATTCGCGAGATGTTCTCCGAGTAACGATCGATACAGAGAGAGGGGACAGCAGACTCTCTCTTGGCCATTCTGCTCGTCGCAATCGAGATGTAAGCTTGTGAGATATTTACTTTTGCATTGGAAGGCACTAGCCGGCGTCGTCAGAAGTAATTTGTCTCTCATCACAGGAGGTTCCATGCACCTGGCTATGCCAGGCTCCACGTAATCTTTCTTCACCCATTCTGCCAACCACCGCATGCTGCAGTCACAGTAAAGCGGGTTGGACCCCAGGGCGCTGCAAACATCGATAAAAGTAGCTGCTATCGAAAAAATGTGCTTCATACGAATGGAACGATACTTGCAGATGCGTTATAGACTTGAGGTCCTCGAACGCTCCCTCTGGAATCACCGATATGTCGTTGCCGTGCAGTGAACTGAAAAGATTATCGTGCGCACTTTTACGTTAAGCAATTCCTGGCAGCGCTACACGTAGGGGGGATATATAAGCAAAGGGGAAACAAACGTAGATCCTCCTTTGGAAGCCGATAGTATGTATAAGAATCGCGGGAAGAATTTCACGCGACATAAAAAATGTCAGTCGGCGATTAAAATCACAACGATTTAGCATAAGGATGTCGCTGCGAGCGATATTCGCGTGAATCCAACCGTGCTGAGCACGTCGAATAAATTTCTTCGCGACGACAAAAAACGTCGACGAAAGAAGAGGGTGCAATGAAAGCCGAGTTAATCGAGTATTTGCGCACGCTCACATTATCCGCAGGTTCTTCAATCCCGCGAGGGCATTTCGCTGCACGCACTGCAGCTTGTTGTAACTGATGATTCTGCAACACAGATATACACATTACAATATAAATCATCTTTCTCTCTCACGCGAGAGTCCCTTGGCGCGGAATAAATATTCGTCGACTTACAGGTGCGACAGCTTCGTGAGATTCCTGAAGGTATCGTTGGACAGCATTCCGATCTGGTTGTTGCTCAGGTCCCTGAAAACGAAGGACGTTAAAGATGGCGAAAGAGCAAGATATACGGTGTTTTATTTACAGTCTGGTGAGAATCCTCAGGTGGTTCAGCCTCTCCGGCTGGATCGTCTTGATGTCGTTCACATCCAAATACAGCTCGGTGGTTTCCGGTGGAATCCCGCGTGGAATCTCTGTAAGCTGAGACCTCGAACATCTCACCACCGAACCCGCGCAATTACATCGAGGCGGACAGTAATCGTCGCCTAGGCAACCCACACTGTCGTCTGTGATGATGGGCATAAAATAGTTAAGAGTGGTTAAGAGAATTTGCAATTCAGATATATATATATTATCGCGCGAGGTGAATAAAGATGTGCACTGACTTAACGTGTGAAATTTCTCTTCGCGGATAATATGTAAATCGTGGATACAAGCGCGCGCTGCAAATTTAATTGATATGTATATCGATCGTCCGTTCACATGCAAAATTCACTGAGGAGGATATTTGCGTTCTTTCTTTCCGACGAACGGATAATACGTACTGTTGCACTTGAACTCGTGATGCGGAATGTCCTTGATGACGGCGTCTTTCAATCGCGGCGGATCGTGACAACGTCCAGTGACGCCAGCCATATCTCGTTTTCTGAGCCATCCCGCGAACCATGCGAGATAACAGTTGCACGACAGCGGGTTACCTTGCATGTTGCTGCCGAGAAAATCAGGAGATTGAATGACGTGATTATATCAAGTTTTTGAGAGAATTTGCGCAATCTTTCTCTCAAAATATGATTCTACATGTGATAAGAAAGGGCGATTGCGCAAAAATTCTGTAAACACGCGATTATCTGCGAACATTTGCAAAATTACTCACATGGTACGTATGTGCGCCATCCCGTCAAACGATCCCGGCATAACGCACGTAATAGCGTTACCGTGGAGATTCCTACGCAATCACATACGCGGGGTCATCGTTTCGATATCGCGTTTTTTTTTCTCTTATCAACAAAGACCGTTCGGGATACTTACAGCGTTTTAAGGCTCGATAAACCGGAGAACATCTTGTTGTGCACTTCTCGCAGCCTATTCTCGGACAAAAGCCTGCGAAAAGAAAGCTCGTCACATTGCGACAAAATGCGAAGAGATTGCGAGCGAGAAAGAGAGACGTCGTTTTCAAGATAGTACCATAGTGTAACGCTTTTATATCCCTTCGATTCTCCGAATAGGCATGAATTTGTAGCGACGACCCAAATCTCTCGGAAGAGCCGTTGTCACACATTGTATTGACCATACTTGAATTTAATTCTTGATAAGAAAATGTGTTGTTTCGTCTTAACACTTTGCGGACCGCGCATTTATCGAAGCGCCGTTACGCTGCCGCCGGCGAGATTCACGCAGGTTCTACTGCTCGCCTTCAAAAGTCACGCCAGCGTGACAGCGGCCGATAACCGTTGGCGAGCAAAAGTCACGTCAGCGTGACAGCGGCCCGCAAAGTGTTAACATTCCCTGGCACGGTTAAACAACAATTCTTGAATAGAATATCAACTGCTGCTGTGATTGAGCAAAGTGACGTTTCTAGCAATATGTGAGCAATTGGACGAGACATCCCAGACACCGAGAGAGAATCTTCTCAATGGAAAACCGACGCTATTGTTTTAATAATTGTCCGCCGGAGGACAATACACGGCGTTCGAAAATTTTCCCGAGAGATGCTCTAAACTTGGAAATATCGACTAGGAGAGACCGCGCAAAGAAAACGGCGTTACACAACGGTATTTTCAGAACGGCTCCCATTGTGCCGGCGAAGTTTTCCGACGTGGCGACAAACTCTGGAACGAAGAGGAAGAAGAAGCCGGGAGGAAGGTAGTGTACGAAAACGGCATAATTCCGTCTCACGTTGAGACTTACAGGTCGGTGAGATTGTGAGCCCCTTGAAAAGCGGACGCCTCGATGCGAGATATTTTATTTTTCCTCAAGTCCAGATGCTGCAGCTCGGGCAGCTTCTCGAACAAGCCGTCCGCCTTGATCTTGTCCAGTTCATTGTTGCTCAACAATCTGGCGCATCAAAGATAATGTGTTGATCATGTGTCGTCGGAGCGCGGCATATATCGTGAAGTTTGTTAGCGGATGGCAAAAAGGACAAGAGAAGCGAAATTGGTACTTTTCGTTCGTTTACACTCCATCACTTGTTTTCGACTGCCGAGCAATTTATTCGCTACCGCGTTATAACAATGCGCCGCGCCCAATAAATTTTACGAATTGCACGTGGAAATAACTCTCGCGCAGAAATTGGTGCGTTGCAGAATTTTCGTGCGATATACCGCGAGCAATAGTGTAACTTGCAGTTGATTGTTTTGCTTCGCTCGTAATTAATATTACGTTCTCTCTCTCTCTCTCTCTCTCTCTCTCTGACGTTCGGCTAAAATTATCAACTCGAAATCTTTGCGCGCAAAATTGAGCGTAAAGATTCTATTCCCCATTTTTCGTTTTCATGTACTGTCTAGTTTTGAAGCATTTTGCGCGATTACATGACGTGCGGTTGAGATGATAATCATTTACACATCGAGTTGCGTTGCGCGTATTTTAAAAGCCCATACAGACCGATCGAGAAATTAATTATTCTCCAAGGCCCCGGATAAATCGGATCGGACGCATAATTTACCGCGAATAATAGTTCAATCTTCATTGTCCTTTTTTCACCGCATTCCATGATTTAATCGGATGATTATTTGGTTCGACGGTCGAATTAATATTCAAGCGACAAGAAATTCTCGGCAGACGAAACCTTCATCCTAACCGATCGATCCCAATAGTGGGGATAACTTTTTTTCTTGTAAGAAAAAACAAAATGACAACAAGGTACGACTATTATTATGAGATAAATTGAAATAATCGCACAATATTATTGTGCAAGCTACCATTGCTTTGATTTTCAAGTTCCTTCTCTGATAATTTTGTAATTACGAGATACCGTTAAAAGCGTAATGTATGCTGAGAGCGAACACTCATCGTCGTTCTCGACCGACTGTCGTATCGAAAGCTCGAAACGTTCGGCGGGAATATTTTCCTTATTTTAGACCGCAACTACCTCTTCATCGGCGCGATGTCACACAGTATTTCGGGAGGTGCTAAAAATGTTCGCGCTGCAAGTGCGTTCAGCGTGACAAACATAACCGCGCAAAATATATTGCTGCTACATCCTGTATGACATAAATTGAGTTTTGGTTTTCTTATTTTGCATGCCTACGTTCGTCGCTCACGATGTATCAAATAAAATATCGCTGGGGATAACGATTCATCTTTTAGCATCGGAATTTTTTTCTCCTCTACTCGGATGTCATCCCGAAGAAAACAATCGTTTATCGCCGACGGTTTGGGCATTCGATTCCAGCGGTGTCGACACACACACACACACACACACACATAAGAGATTTCTCGCGACGAGTGAGATACTCACAAAGTTGACGTGTAGAGCGGCAAGTCTTTTGGTATCGAAGTTAATCTCTTGCCGGAGCAGTCGACTGTCGCACCGTTGCACGTGCACGGCGCGGGACAAGCGCCAGGCAGAATGCACTCACCGGCCCTTTTCGTCAACAGTTCCTCGTCACCTGCAGACAGAGTTTCGGAATAGAGTCAAACTCGAACAATCGCGCCTGAACAACACTTCCGCACCTCTCGACGATACGAGATGTCGCGCAGCACAAGAAAGAAATGTTCTCTCGGCACGTGGAGAAAGACGTCGGTTAGTTACACGATGATGATTCGATAAATTTTGATCGTGAAAAGCGTAATTAATGACGGGACGAACCGAAATGCCGTATGTACTATCGCACACATCGAGTGAGTTTAACATTGTGGGCTGAATATGTATGAGTGCGGCCACGGCAGAAATGATTTATCATCGTATTATACACCACATTACAAATTGCCGGGTGTGATGTACGCATACGTAATTATATCGACGATACACACATTGCAGCGTGTGTATAACCGGCCACCCAGTTACTAGATGAGAGACAATTACAAGTCGTGTACTACGAGAGAAGGAGGATTATCTATTCTTTCTTTCGATCAGTTCGCGACTTGTCGCTGAGATGAGAATCAATCGAGAGTTATTATTCGCCGTTGTTGTGTCCCCGGCGAACGGTTCCTTCTAAGGGGGAGCATTCGTTTCCTTCAGCGGAAGGAAGCACTCTCCCTTAATTCTCGCGAAATCCTTCGCAGCAGCGGGAGCGTTGTATACATTTTTGCCGGAGGCAGGCGAAAGTTGTCCGCAAGTTTTACGCGTAAGTTCTTTCTCGTTTGCCAAACTATACGGTAATGTGCGTTTATACCGGCACATATATGTTTATTTTTCCGATACACTTTGAATCGTGCAATATGTCTACTGATTTTTCCCCCAATTGTATATTATTATCGCCAAGGATAAGGCGATAACGAATGAATTTTACCCACCAAGCCACCGCGATTACACTGAATTTATGTCAGTCAGATTTTGAAGGGCAGAACACCTTCCCTCTGCGATATTATGCGACTATACGTACGCAAAGATGTAGACACTGTTTTTGTGTCGTACGGACACACTCATATATGTAGCGACGCATACAGAGCGGCGTATACGTTTTTCGGGATTGTATGGTGCGGTACAAGGAAAGTGCATCCGGGTGAAGCCGCATAAAGGAAGGTTAGAAACTTCCGGGTATTATTCTCAAACGGATACGGCGTTAGCAAAAAATCTCGTCGCGAAAGGTGCGCCGGAAAGAATGTCTCGATGAATTTCTCGCAAATTACAGAGTCGTTGAAAGATGAGGGAAATAAAGTGAAAATATGGGAAACAAAAAAGAAAGGGAGTATATCTCTGTCAAAGACGTGTGGCTTCGCCAAGTTTACCGTCGTTGCAGCAACAAGACGCCTGCAAACGCATATAATAACATCAGCCAACGTTAACATACCTGCCGGGATCTATTTTACGATTAGCGAGATATATCCATCCATCCGGCAAAGCATTTATCAAGGGGTCCTCTCTTGGTTGCACGAGAACCTATATAGATTGTCTGGTCATCTGTTCCCGACGTGTCGACAAGAACGAATCGAGAGAAAGGAGAGAGAGAGAGAGAGAGAGAGAGAGAGGAGACGTACGTATCTGAATATGGGATGCACAAGAAGGAGGATATATGGAAGCGCCGACGTGATTGATAATAAAGTGACACGATCGATCGAGTGATTCTTACGCAAGGAATAACACATTTCGGATTAATTCAATTTTTCATATTTACAATTATCCGTAAATTTGATTGCTCTCTAAGAGATAAGTCAGACCGACAGCTCGGTACGCTAGATGTTTCGCGCGTATGTATCAAGAGAAAAGAAAAGGTGTCGCTCGAGAAAATGATCGATTCCATCGCGCGCATAAACTACCGACCTGTACTATCCTGCCGAAGTGTTAAGAAGAGATATACCGGAAAAGTCGAATCGTGCTTACCCTTACATTTGAACTTGTCGTCCCGCATCGAATCGATCTTTCGCTTCTGCGCTCTCTTTGGCATTTCGCATTTAGCGCCGGATGTCTCTATAGGGTGCGCGTGAAGATACGCGCTCAACCAGCGCAGATTGCAGTCACAGATGAACGGATTTCTCGCCAAGTGTCTAGAGAGGAAAAAAAGGTTGGTCGACATATTGTGCGGGGAATGTATCTTTGAGAAGTAACGAAAGGTACGAACAGCGTTTTAATGCTTCGCAGGTTGGCAAAAGTCCCATTAGCTAACGAACGTATGTTGTTGTCGTAGAGGGACAACAAGGTGAGGCTGGTCAAGTCTTTGAACAGGTCTGTTCGTATGCACGATATCTCATTGGCATTCAGCAATCTGGAAGAAAAGTTTTCACAGATTACGCGAGAACGAAGAGACTTTGTTCGTACGATCTCAAGAGTACTCTTGCAAACTCACTACAATTTCCCGGAGCTACTTACAACAACTGCAAATTCGTCAGTCCTTGGAAAAGCCCAGCCGGTAACTCTGTGATTTTGTTGCCGTATAGGACTCTGCAAAGAAATATATCCCCGCTCATACGAACGTCACGAAGAAAATGTCTTATCGGAGAGATACGTACATGGATTCGAGAGACTTCAGTCCATGGAAAGCGTCCGCCGCCACTTTTTTAATCTGGTTATTGCTCAAGTCACTGCGGGCGAAAGCATAAAAGTATGAAAAACGTTTCGTGCGGTGAAACGTCTATACGTGTTAGGTCAGTCACTCACATTCTTCGCAATTTTCTGTACGGCGAGAAGGCCTTGGGTGGAATTTCCGTGATGCCGTTCTGTTCCAAACGCCTGCGGCCAATCGGGGAGAAAACAAGTTACAAGAGTAAGTTGGCGAATATGCACACATTCTCTAGCGGCCGCTCAACAAAACATCGACGTTTTCTTTTCATTCTTTTTCCCCCTGGCAGAGGACAGTAAATCGTTCCTTTCTTTCTTCTGCGCGTCGAGTATACTGTTATTTCGGACCTCACGGTTTTATGATAAAATGATGATACGAACACAAACTCACGGAGGAGAGAGTGGGTTAATCAGCCTCCCCCATCATGTATTACAGATGTCATCCTCTTGAGTATCCTTTAGCCGACATGCTGGATGGAAGAAATCGTTTCAATGAAATATTTGGACCACTCATTGCTTCGAAAAATAATCCCCAATGACACGGGATTGTTATTTTCAGTCAGCCTTCTGAAGATTACTCAGGAGGATGACCTCTGTAATATTATTATCATCGCCTCCCTTAAACAGCATTTTCAGCGATTTTATTATTAAGAACAATTGGAAATATTATCGGTGAAGAACGCCGCGACAAGAGAAAACAGCGAGAGCCAACGTTTGAAAGAGGACCGTTTATTTAAGTCGGTCAACACGTCGCTCGAACGAGAAATAAATTTCAGACGAAAAACAGGTAAGTACGCACAATCCGCAGTTTCACTTACAGCTCAGTGGTGTCCTCGGGAAGGTGGGTTGGCACTTTCGTCAAGGAGTTCTCCCTGCAATCAACGATCCCATCGGCGCATTTACAAGGATGCGGGCACTGGGGCTCAGCGCTGCATTCCGATCCCGTTCGCTCGACCAGGCCCGAACACTTGAACTCGTGCTCCTGCAAACAATGGGTTTCGGGTTAACAAAGAGCGCGAGTATCGATAAATCGATAGCCTAACGATTGCCGTGATGTTTCGTAAAAAAATTTCCCTTCGCGAAACATTCTCGCGCAACACTGGAGAGAGAGAGTTTCACTCTTTATTAAATGTTATTGACAAGCAAATATTTGAGATAATTTGGTCAAAGTAATTTTTACATGCGATTGTCAATATCGATATTACGAGCAATTTGAAGTTCGTGGATTTTACAAAGTGAAATTTCAATCGGCGGCAACGTCGGACTCACCTGCAAATCCACGAGATTACGATCCTTGAGATGAACCGGAGATGCGCACCGCGTGTGTTGCCCCAGGCGAGGATAAGTTCTCAAATGACGCGATAACCATGCTAAATGGCAATCGCAAGCGAGTGCGTTATCCGTAAGCTTCAAAGTTCGCAAATGCGACAAGCCGCTCAGCGTCTCTTTGCCGAGAGTCACGAGTCTGTTGTTGTTGAGCATTCTGAAATGAATATTCAGCGCGCGTGTATTCCTTTTTTCTCTCTCTCTCTCGCAAACTTGTATTACGACACGAGTGACATGAAATTTAGACTACACCTAGTCTACGCAATCAAATTTTTATGGGGGGGGGGGAATTACTTACAATATTTCTAAATCTTTGAGTTCTCGTATCGAAGCTTCGTCTATACAGGTCAATACGTTGTTGTCGAGCAATCTACCGAGGAAAAGAAACAATTTGTGTTTAGTGATTCGATTGACTAGATAAATCGGATATTTCGCGCTTTAATACACGAAGAAAAGTATCATTCTATCGCTAAGAAAAACGATTAAAAAATTCCTTCTTTTAAATAGATGTTTAGTTATTTTCAACAAAGAATATTTGTCTGACACAATAGATGTGTACTTATCATACATTCAGTGTGATGTGGCAAATTTTGTTTGAAATTTTATCGTGAACGGTAAATCTTTTGCCAGAGAGAACCATCCTGGCGCTGCAATGCCATACATAAAATATCTCGCGCATGAGTTACAACGTGACTACTGGACTAAATAGTTGAGAGAGAGAGAGAGAGAGAGAGAGAGAGAGATCGTTACGGGACAATCTGTAACGGATGCATCCGATAAGATACTTACAAATGTCTGAGAGCGGACACTCCTCTGAGAGTCTTCGGTCCTATAGTGGCGATCTGATTGTGACTGAGGTCTCTGCGATAGAAAAACACGATAGTTTCTCGAGAAATGTCGATTACATCCAAACAATCATATCTTATTTTAATTTTATCATCTTAGAACGTAGTTTCACGGCTGCTTTAATCGATGAAAACATAAGATGTGTACAAGTATTGGGTCGAAGAGTTCATCATCTGCCTTCTTCGACAAAGCGAGACTATCTTGTATGCGAAACCTTTTATCGAATAATCGCGAATTCCGTTCGACCTAGTTTCCGCGCAAAAAATGAAGGAAATTAGCAAAATCCATCGGCGTCACGTTCGTCAGCGTCGCGTTAACCCGCGTCTCTCGGCCTTTCACGGATGACCACGTTCTCCTCATCATCGGTGGGTAGCTCGTTCCACTTTATCGCGACCGCGTAGTCGCGAGTTCGTCCTACATTTTCGATCAATTATTCAAGAGCGTCGAATGCCGCCGCGCGATTATCTTCCGCCAAGTCGTGCGACCGGCCACACGTGCATCAGACCCGGTCACGTGAGAGGTTATAGACTCGCGGTCCTCGGTCGAGATTGCGCGTAACCAGTGACCGTTTCTCACGCAACAGTCATCTTACAGGTGCCTCCAACTCAGCAAGTTTCGAAGTAGTTTGCGCGCAAGGAGCTAAAAGAAGAGGCTTCCTTCGATCCTAGCGGAGTATCTCCCATATGTTTGTGATCGCGAGTCCGTTATCGTTAAATTGTCGCCATTATATAATGAAAATGACAGCTTATCCCGAATAACACCGGAGAGAAGAAAATAAAGTGGCGACTGAACTAAACAGAGTGCGGGTATCGAAAAGGACGAAAAAAATAATCGCAAAGACTGTTAGGTCGCTCATCGAATGAGCAGCAATTTTTCGGCCAAACGATTGAAATTGCGAAAAGTGAAAATCGCGCGGAACCTCTTTCCGAAGTCTGAGAGGACTAATGACGAGGCTCGTGATGATAGGTAGAATGGCTGGCTGACCATCCCATTGGCTCGCAATCTATAATTATGTTTACGGGAGGGAACGCGCGGGAGAGAACGTGGCGGAGGATGAAGACAAGAATAAGAAAAACGAAGCAAAACGGAGAACGCGAGATCGGGAGGAAGAGAGCGAGGCTGGGAGATTGAACTCCCAGTCCGCTCGAGCCAATCCAGAAAGTAATTACCAAATTTCGACGGACGCGAACAAAGGGAACTCGCGTCATTCGAGTTGGTCGGCGCGAAATATTATTGTCCCTGCAGAGTTTGATCGCGCCATCGAATAAGCGTTTGTCACACGCTGCGCGCAATAAAAGTTCATCTCTCTAGAGCACTCTGCGAAACTACGAGGCAAAATTAAAAATGGTTTTCTAACTATCGATTATTGATCAAAAGTGTATATCCGCCTACATACGTCATTGCACGGGTAAAAATGTTGTTGCTTAAAATCACATTTCAAGATGAGTGGACATTCTGTCCTACGATAACGTATAATATCGAGAAGAAGATCGAGAGAGGAAAAAAAGAAAACTCTTTTGCGGAAACTTTGGATATTAAATTCCACACAATAGCGAAAAGCAATCTCGAAATTTCCGAATGCCCACTCTGATTCGACGATGTCTCTTTCGCTTGTTATTCCGAATAAATTACTCGCGTTATAATGGCATAAATCAGACTCTCTGAATAGAGAGAAGCACGAATCGAGTAATGAAATTTGGCTGCATTTGCCGCCAACCGAAGCTTATTTTGCGCGCTGCAAAAGCAATCGATCGTATGTGTTGAGACGCTGGTCGGAGCATAAAACGCACGACGCTCGATATTTTAGAGATCGACAGACATTTCGAATCTCTCTCATCGTCGGCATATAAGTCGGCGAATACTCGTAGAATGGAGGACGATAATGAGTCGCGACACAATAAGACAGCGACTGGAAAAACGAGAGTTGGCTTTATATGCCCTCGAATCACGGTAAGACGGGAGAGAACTCCCAGCTCGCTCGAGCCAATCCTGAAAGCAATTACCGAATTTCGACGCGGCTGCGAAACTAACAAAAGGACTCGGTGGTCCTCGAGCAACCCGTCCAATTTCGAATGTTGGCCGGAGCTGTTAACCGCGATAAGAACGGGACGGATCGCTTCTGTGTGTAACAGAAGCTTCTTTTGCGGTGGCATAATCGAAAGATTATGAAACTTAAGCGGCGAGGATTGCAATATCTCTACTGGCGAACGTAACGGCTTTGTAATGCGTGGCAGAGTAACAATTGCACGATAATTATTGTTGTGCGCGATCTCTGCCGACGGCTTCTCCCTACTCTTTTGTTTCGAAAATTCAAATTTCGAATCGTTATTATCGCCTCAGGCGGACGAATGTTGCTGTAAAATACAATTTGTTTCACGGCAGGCTACGAAAGTCCCCTTATAATTGTATCATTTAGATAGGTTTCGCGGAATATCGGAGTTAATCATATGTTGCGTTCAGCCGAGAGACGAATTTTCAAGTTGGCCGTGTATACAGGGATGTCGCTCAATCATTTGGGAAATTGTTCCAGTTTATCGACACATGTGACGCGTGCGACTGAAAGGAATTATTCCGACGCGGAGAGGAACGAAAGATGTTGGAAGGCGATTAAACGATACGACTAAAGTTAAAGTCGGCGAAATATCTTGGTGCGAAGCGAGCAGAGGCGGCAGCGAGCGGAATTAGCAACCTTCCGATTTTAACGGCGTTTTATGCGCGCCGGATGAAGGATTATCGGAACGCTCGTGAGAATGGCGCCGTAAGGTCGCAACATAATACGTCCGTTTGTAAGGTGGCAGCCTTATCGTCGGAAACTGTAGGTTATGCCCGAACGGAGCCGAGAAGTCCGTCTTGCCCACTTTGCAGGATGATAGATGGACGATCTCCTCCTCCGCTTTTTCGCCGTTCCTCTTTTTCTTGTTGGTACTCCCCTGTCATCCACGACGAGAGAAAGAGGCTCGTGCACTTTTCGACCGCGCGGCTGCCGGGACGGAAACGGTGTGCCGCTCGATCGCGATAAAGGCACGATAAAGACGATATCGCTGTTACTCGTCGGCTATTTTTTTCTCTGCGAACGGGTCGTTCGATTGAAGATCGGGAAGAATGTTACCGGACGAGGAGGAAAAGCAAGCCGGATGGACGGACCAGCGTAATCACGGGATCGGTATTTCTTGTGAGGTGACTCTCTTCTCGTTAGCGAAGGACCGTGTCGCTGCGGTAAAAGAGGTCGGTTTATTCTCGACGGAGATAGCTTATGGATGAGAGTAAATTGTGTTCTTTCATCTCCTCTTCCTGTCGAAAAAAAGGAAATACCAAAAAGATGAATTAAAATTATGATTTTAGACGGCAGCCAGTCGTCTCTTTGCACCTGTCTAAAGATTCTTCTCGGACTGCTCTCTCTCTCTCTTTAATAAGACAGTTGCCGCCCCTACTCGTCGCGTGCGAGTATCGAGCGATCGTCTTTAAGAGGCTAAACCCCGGGGTGAAAGTTCGATCCGCGACGGGTTTCGCGAGAGAGCTTGCGTTGCGGCACATAGATACGTACGATAGGTATGTAGGCCGTCGTCTGAAAAGTTTATGCGATAACCGTCGTGTGCTTAACACGTGGATCTAGAGGCGGCAATATACCGTGCGTGCGTCAACCAACCCTGCATTCTCACGTGTAATTGTTCTCCCGAGATGTCATTTGTGCGAAATCCGCGGATGTTGCCGCGATATCGCAAACTTCCATATGAAGTATCTCGCGCCATTTACATACCGTGTATCCCGACATAAATCCCGACGGCATAATACGTTCGCGGCTCTTAACGAATTCTCTCTCTCTTTACGCGCTCGCGTCGATACCTAACGCGTGTTAGCGAGACGCGTGTTGGCTAACGTTAGTGCTCACGAATGTCGGAAGATATCCACCTGTAATTATATGTTTACACGAACAAAATTTCGATAAATCTATACAGAAGCGAACATCTAATCCGGCGATAACAAGCCCATACTTACAGGCGTTTCAGATTCATCATATTGCTGAAGAGTAGATCGGGTAGATGGCGTATCTGATTGTTATTTAGACGTAGCTTCTCCACTGCCACCAAATCTTGAAACGCCCCCCTCTCGATGGTGTGAATTTGATTGTTGGATAGCAACCTGCGTGTAGACAAGACTCAACGAGAGCCAAAACGGTTATCGTGACGTCAATGAAATACGAACGATTATCGAGCACGGATATCGAGAAAGAGAGCGACACGATTGATTATCATTGACGCGCAACGCAATCGAACGCGTGGAACAACCGTTGATCATAACAGACTGGCTCGAAAAATTCTTGAATTGAGTAAATTCGCAGTTGCCGAACCTACGAGAATAAAATATCAGAAGAATGTACTCACAAAACGTGGAGCGTCGCCATATCTTCGAAATCCGTCTTGAATATCACCGATATATTATTTCCTTGAAGATCTCTGCAACAAAAGAAGCCAAAGTGAGCGATCGTGGTGAGAGGTGGTACACGCGCTTTTGTTTCTAACGCACAGTGCGGTAGAATCTTTTCGCCGTAAGATTTCTTCATATACAATTCTATCGATTCAGCGAATCACCCTTAGCGCAAAGTGGAACAATCGTGCTACGAGAGAGGGAAAATGACGCGTGGTATCGCCAATAAAGAAAGGGTTATACCTCTCCGTTACCAGAAAGCGTGAATTTACTCTTCACGTCGAGAAAGAGAAGACCGTGAAGTGGCCGTCAAACACAGCCGAGCGTCTGCTTCCCTCCGGGAAGTTATTAAGGCCTTATTAAATTGGTTCCTTTTCCCGGGGAAACTTTTTACCTGACAAAAAGAGAGAGAGAGAAATAGAGTCGGCCTACGAACGCTCCTCCCTCCCTCCCTCCTTCCCTCTCTCTCTCTCTCTCTCTCTCAAACGCGCGAATTTCTCCTTTCTGGTCTGACGACCGGCGTAAATTATTCCCTCGTTTTCGTCCACTGACGTATAATTCCCCGTCGACGACAAAGTGACGGAGGTACCTCGCGAGTGAGATTCGATTCACTGATACTCGAGATGCGAAACGTGATTCTTATTCTACTTCATCTTTTTTAGCTAGTAAATCTTGTTTTCCTATCGAATACACACACACACAAAATATTGCAAGGTTGTATTATTCCACATATATCCCCCGAAGTTCTTCCCAAGGTTCTCCCTATGTATATCTCTGCGCTTTCGGTATAATATATCTTATTTCTTTTAATTTCTCTCAAGTAGGGTAAAATAGAGATGTTTTGAGAAGAGGCAGAAAAAAAATCATCTTGAATCAGACACGGGTTACTTAATACCCCGAGAGAGAGAGAGAGAGAGAGAGAGAGAGAGAGATAATGAGTACTTGCCGCTAATTTTATTAAACGCCCTCTCCTTAATGCAGGTATAATATCTAATTACGAATCATTATACTCCAAGGAAGCTGAAAATACTTCCCGCGGGAGAAGCATGGCCGATCGCATTACGGAATCGAGGCCCATCGAACGCATAATCCACTTTATCGTCAATTCGATTAATTCTCGACGGGATAAAACGGCCACCCAGCGTCTAACGAGAGAGCTTTACGAGCTAACTAATGAACGACGTCGCTTCTCCCGTGTTATCGTTGTAGAATGAACGCAATGAACATCGTTATGACATACAAACAATGTCGCCGACAGAAGGATGAACGATGCTTCAACACACATCTTGAAATATATAAAAGAAAAAGATTTTACACAACATTCGTTTGTACTAGATACGACTACCGATATAGTATAATGATGGAACAATAGTTGTAATCCAGATTCTTGGATCAATTTGGCAGCAGGTTTGTGTCTCGAGTAAAAGCTCGCTACAGTCGGAGATTATCTTTCGTGATATAACAATAAGCAGAGCAGTTTTGCAGACATTTTGAGCGAACGCGACGTAACGGTGCTCGTTTGCTCGTCATTATCGCGATCATTCAAAGTCGTCGAGATATCGGGGTTCATGAACCAACCGTCAACTCGCGGAATAAGACGGAAACTTGGCGTGCACCGTTTACACGACGGATTTGCGCTTCCAGGAACTCTAATGTGACCCTTTCGCGGGGACCCCGTCGTCTTATGTACGGTGTTACGCTCAATTAAAATAGCGCGGCATCTTCTCGGAAAGTAATAACGGCTACCGTTCGGGTCTTGTATGGGGAAGCTTTGCTCAACGAACTGAATAGAGAAGTGCCTGAGCACCGCCCGCGGCGACAATTCGTCGGACCAGAAAAAATTTGTTTGTTGTTCTCTAAATATCTGCGTTGATCGAGGTTTCTTTCGAGGTTTCGTCGTTTGCCACTCAAGGACGGGGCTAATTCGCGCAATTTTCACATCGATAAAACGAGTCCTTCTATAAGGCGATATTATTAATAATAATTTCTCGGTGCAGTAGCTCTCGTGCCGGACAGCTCTGAAAGATAGATGCTTAGACACGCCTGTTGATATAGAAGAGGATGCGTGTCGTTCTCTTTCGCGCAAAACAGATTGCCCAAATAAAGGCAATCCAGATATATCATGCTCGCGGAAGGTGACATATATGAATGAATGGGATCAAATTCCACAAAATGAATCATCGACGATCGTCACGTTTTTGACGATTGTCGTCGCAAGATGATCTCTGCGTTCCAATAGCGTTCTGAGAGATGCATTTTCATCCCGCACTTTTGCCAGGCGACTCACGTAATAGCTAACGCAATTACATCATTCGCGGGTTCTCGCGAAGGCGAGAATAAGGGGTGAGCGCGCTACGGCAGCGGAGGGAGCTGCTCGGTAAATTTGATGGGACGGCGGCGAGAATCCAAAGGGATCGGAGGGACAGTCAGGGTGACAACGTCCAAGAATAAGGTGTTGGTCTATATTTGACTCTCGTGGCGGAATGAGAGAGGATAGGCAGATGTAATCAAAGTTTGCAGACAACCGTTCGCGAGGCCTCCCCCGTGAGGTATATGGAGGGATCGGCCGGATATCCGGTCGTATCTTAGGCGCGAAGCCGCGCGTCGATACGCCTGTTTAACGTCGTAGAAATGTCTCCGGCGCGGATAAAGCGAAAAAAGAGAGAGACAAGATTTTCCCGCTCCGTCTTCCAGCGGGAATTCGGCAAATCGAATGATTTACGGCCAGTGATTATATTCGCGTCCGGCATCATCTGCTCGTACGTACAGAGCCCGCAGGAAATCCGTGTAATCCACCGTCATTTACCATATGCGAATTGTTTGCTGTGCAAACTAATTCATCGATCAAGACGATCGATGGAGACGTTGCACTTATAGATGCTCGCTTCTGTGACCGACGGTGGAAATTTCGCCGCCGACAAGCGGACTAAGCGAGCGAGGCGTCGGTCTTCCGCGCACAGAAATGTAAATGGAATCCTTTGATTGAGTTTACCGGTGAGAGACTCTGTAAGTTCGGCAAAAGAAAAGGCGTCGCTCGCTCGCGAATTTCGAATAATCGTGACGACTCTTAAAAACGACGAACATTCATCGTCGCGCTTTTCATAAGCTGACTAGTGGTACCATCGTTTCGCTGGATGACAGAACCGCACACGTATCGCGAGACAATAATAGCGAGTGTTGAGGACAAGAACAGTTGATTCACGGTGGTATAATAGTTTGGCGCGGAAGGCAGACGGCGTTTACATCACCGTCGTTTTGCGCTCCGTCCAAGAACAATGCAATTAACATAGTGTGTTTAAACTTAAGCTTTGGTCGCATTACCGTGGAAACTTATTGTAGTGCGGGAGGTTGAAGCGCAATAAACACATACCGACTTCTGAAACATTCAGACGGGATTCTACGCTGTAATGTAGTGTCGAGGAGAGTCCGCGTTTGAATTTATCGGGCTGGCGTGCCTCCAGATGAAATTTCTTTTTTGTTCCGTTGCGGCCGGTCATTCCTCACCGGCTGCCGCGTGTCAACCCAGTAAAATCAAATATTAACGGTCGCCAGGATGTAGAATCGCGCTCGTATGCTCGAGTATTTACGGTGTGATACGGTGACGCATCAACCGTGATATATCAACCATTTTATACATATGTGAAAATAAAGCGCCGCGGGGATGAAGAAACGATCAATAAAAACACGTGGTGGCATTTGTCATAACGAGAGACTTTCGCATGAATTTCTTTCTAATTATGTACGTAATAACAAAGACGAGAGAAATAACATCGAGTTGTTCTTCTCTCTGAGATAGTGCGTCGACTGATCAACGATATGTTTATTAAGTCTTGGTAGATCGCTGGAATTGTCGGGAAACAAAGCGATTTCATCGTTCGACATCTGGATGGATATCGAATGTTCACAGACTGGTATAATTGGCGATTAAATTTAATTTTCAATCAACCGTTAATTGAGCAATCCTTCCCTGGTCAACGGGCATGCTGTGGCATCGATTTACAAACGGCTATTGTCTTCAAACAAAGGAATCATTCGTCGCTGTAGAGTAGTTCCATTCAAAGCGAATGTCATGTTTCTTAGACACAGTCCAGATAACAATCGCTCTGCTTGTGGCGCGACAACGCGGTCACCGATAATTTGCTGTATGCTATATGCATTTTAACATTTCCCTACCAGCTGCGTGTGACGGCCCTCCGTGTAGCAAAATCGATGTTAAATACATCCCCGTATACACGGCGGAGAAGCGCCAAACTATTGTTCCGCGGCTGTCGATTCGTTTGCCAGCGCAAGTAGTTCGACAAATGCGGAGTCGCGTGCAAAGGAGCCCCCCCCCCCCCTTTACGAAAAGTGACCTGAAAGAAGAAAAACTCCTCAGAGTTCGCACTAAGCGCAGTAATTGATCAATCTATTTCTCGTTCGAGCGAGTAAATTACTTCTCAATTTGTTTCGCGTCCCGAGCAGAATCTAACGGTAAAAACGGTTTCGTACAGAAACAAATATACAAAATTACAATTTGTTATACCTTGTGCAAAGTCCTTTACACATATGATGACAAAAAGTTCGTACGTGTGGCCGCGCTCTATTATTAATTATTCCAAGTGGCGACGTAACCGAGAGCGGTTTCGCCCGGAGGATGTATTACACCTTTAAGAATCTCCGACGGTGTGGTTCGTTAGTAAACTAGTCAAGCAAAAATAAATATTCGCAGCGGCTCGGACGAAGCCTTTTTCGAGAGAGAAGTTCGCCAGCTGTGCGAGAACATGTATGTGTGTTCAGTAATATCAAAATATTCCTTTTCGTCCATCCCATTAACAAACATAAAGTACATTCCTTATTAATACACGAGAGCGAGCAGTAATTTGTATCGTTTTATCCAGCGGAAACATCTCCCAAGATTTTCCGACAGCCGCAACTGGTTCAGAAGAAACGCCGGTACGTGTAACGACCGACTTGCCATAATGCGGGGGAAACGACGTATAGCCGCTTACATTTCAGATAGTTCTTGTCGTCCGCGCGACTTTTCCAGGCG